CTGTGGAAGACACTCCAAACCATATACATACCAAGTCGAAAAATCAGTAAGTGCACAGAAGCACAGTAGAACAGTGACTGTCAAATGCTGGAAGGAGAGGGAACTAGGCAATGTCAATGCTAACAAAGCCTCAGTTGCACAAGGTAATTGGTTCTGCAGGTCTGTAATATAGTACCATGCCTCTAGCTAACAATACTGAGGTGAATATATAAAGCATTCTAAAAAGTTAGAACTATGTGTTCTTAATATACACTATATAATAATGGGTGTGGGACAAATTTAGGAAGGTGACAGATAGGCTTATGGCTGTTTCAGTGTTGACCGTTGTAGGACATTTAATTCCATTGTGAACCCCCAGATTGTGTACTAGAAAAACATGTTTCTAGTTGTGGTGTGGTTGTGGTGTAGTACACACTGTTAATCCAAGAAGTCTGTTTATTGTAAACAGGCAGTGTGGTGTGGCTCAGCCCTAGCACACATAAGATTCAAGAACTTTCTGTAAATAGGATTAAATAAGATTAACCCTAGTTCAAGCAGTGGAGCAAATAACCAGTGGACAGGAAGTAGAAAGAGGAGACAGTGAGTTGAAGGATATTTAAGACAGAGTGGAGAAGGAAACGGAGCTCTTTTCTTTTTTCTTTTATTTCTTTTTTTATTTATTATATTTTATATTAATTACAGTGTATTTACTTTATATCCCAGCTGTAGCCCCTTCTTCATTCCCTCCCAATCCCACCTTCCCTCCCTCATCTCTTTTCTGCCCCTCTCTAAGTCCACTGATGGGGGAGGTCCTCCTCCCCTTCTATCTGATCCTAGCTTATCAGGTCTTTTCAGGGTTGGCTACAATGTCCTCTTCTGTGGCCTAGCAAGGCTGCTCCTCCCTCGGGTGTGGGGAGTAGGGGGAGGTCAAAGAGCCAGCCATTGAGTTCATGTCTGAGATAGTCCCTGTTCAGCTAACTAGGGAACCTACTTGGATACTGAGCTGCGATGGACTATATATAGGCAGAGGTTCTAGGTTGTATCTATTCATGGTCCTTGGTTGGAGAAACAGTCTCAGAAAAGATAAACAAGAAAGAGGACCCAGGGTAGGATAATCAATCCTCACTTAGAAAGACAATGGATGGACATTGGAAATAAGAGAAAACAAGTAACAGGACAGGAGCCTACCACAGAGGGCCCCTGAAAGACTATACCTAGCAGTGTATCAAAACAGATGCTGCGACTCATAACCAAACCTTGGGCAGAGTGCAGGGAATCATATGAAAGAAGGGGGAATTAGTATGACCTGGAGAGGGCAGAAGCTCCACAACGGAGCTCTTTTCTTCTGGGATTTGAGCTGAGTAGGAAGGGCTTTTTCCTTCTGGAACATGAGCTGAATAGGAGAGACTTTTTTTTTCCCTTCCTTTTGGGACTTCAGTGGAGTAGGTGGGCCAGCTGGGTGCTTTCTCTGCCTCTCCAAGCTAGTAGACTTTTACCCTAGCATCTGGCTCCTGAGTCTTCACAGATAAAATCAAATGTCTGGAGTTTTGTTTTTAAAGTAGCAGGTGATGGCTTCACAATAAAAATCTGTTCTCAAGCTCATCACAGAAAGAAAGGGCATCAGTTTCTCTCACTCTGTTGTTCTTCCTATCTGTGGTAAGAATAAACATGATCTACAAAGAAGCTCTTTCTTTCCACAGGGGAAGATGAACACTGCCAAGCATACCCTGGGGGAGAGCCACGGCTCAAGTGCAGCCTCTGTGCAAAATGAGCAAGAAATAAACTGTTGTTACCCTAAACCACTGTATTTCATTGTTTCCTCCCCCTCCCCTCAGCAAAGCCATTTAACACAAAATAACTACAAAACATAGAAACATGGTTCCTTATGTCATTGCTTGGACAAGAGCCCAGAGATTCATCCCATCAAGTGCAGCTGTGTAGGACTGTTGGACAAATGAGAAGCAAGCTGTTATCCGCCTAAGCCACTGTTACCATAATTAGCCTACTGTATATAATTAATATTGTCTGTGAAGTCACTCCTTCCATAAGAATGAATAACTCTCAAGCCTGTTTCTGAACTCTCCTGTGTGATCATTTTGCACACCAGTCATTCCTAATAGCTGTGGAGTCCATGGCGGCAAAGATGCTGTCTTCTGTGGTTTGGATGTAGTCTGTCCCCCCGTGAGTCATGAGCTGAAGCTGGACCCCCGTGTGGCCATGCAAGGAGATGGTAGGACCTGTGAGAGGTGGGCTCTAGTACAAAGTCTCTAGGTCTTGCTGAGTACCGCCCTCCCCAGATATGTGGTTCTCTTAGGCCTCTTGACTTAGCTCTTGCCAGAGGGTTGTGCCCATCCCTACCTAGAGAGTTATGGAAGGCAGAATTTCAAAGTGAGGAACTGGGGTGCCTACAAGAAGAAATACTGAAACAACAAAGAAGTCAGGCTGTTCCTGGGTCAGCTTTGAACTGTACCATCTAAACATAGAATGCTTAATTTAAAAGGAAACAAAGCAAAAGGAATTGAAAGATTTGCAGACCATCCAGAAAAAGAGCAAAGAAAACTCATCCAGTAACCTAGCAAGAGATCAGCATGGAGAAAATGAGGCCAGATGCATCCGCACAATAGGAAAGAGGCCTGGAGGGCACCTCAGAAGTCTGCGGGGCTTAAAGAAGAGAACTGTCAGTGAACAGGCTCAGTGTGCTCTCCATAAGCTCTCACCTGCTGCTCCCTGCTGTCCAGAAGGGCACTCTTTGGCTACCTCAGCTATGCTCAAACAGGCCCAAGCTGTGGCTGATAGAGAACACTAATGCAAAGAATCAAGTGTCAGCTTTTAGGGCAAGGTACACTGCAGGCATGCATAAAGGAAGAGCTATGGAGGCACAGGAGCTTCCACACAGAGTTCAAGACAAAACTTAGGAGGCCCCTCTGAGGCCTGTCTTAGAGGTCCCGCCACAGAGGGTTAACACTACTAAAGCTGTAATAATGGGACATCCATCAAGGCTCTGTAGCTGGGAACTACCAGCCTTCAGTGCCAGCCTGGGAAAGCTGCAGTCCTGGAAGCTGAAGTATGGGCTGAGCCCAGCAAAGACAGAGAGGAAGAGCTATTAGAGACTTTAGGGGTACAACCCCAAGACAAGACAATTTAGAATTTTAACAGTTTGTGTGTGCTCTGATGGCATTTGGATGTTCTCTGGGCCAGTTACTACTTTCTGCTTAACTATTTCCTTTGGGATGGAAACATTTACCCACACCATATAGCCTGTCCCACTGTGTATGGTGAGTAAAAGACTTGATTTTAGAGTTTCACAACTGAAGAGTAAATCTTGAACCCCAAATGAAACACTAGCTTATTTAACTGAGGCTGGAATAAGTTAAGACTTAGGGATTATTTATAGAGTATGATTCTATTTGTGAGCATATGAGTTGTGAAGAGCAACTCACAGATGTTGAAGGAAGGTCCAACTGTAGTTTGTTTTTCTTTTTAAAATTATTTATTCACTTCACATCCCTATTTTAGCCCCCTCCCTCCTCTCCTCCCAATCTCCCTCCCTCTGCCCCAATACCCCTCCCCTATTCCTCAGATAAGGGGAGACCCCCACCCACCCCAGCTCATTAAGTAGAATCAAGACTGACTGAATCCTCTTCCCCTGTGGCCTGTCGAGGCAGCCCCGACAGGGGAGAGTAATCAGAAAGCAGGCAATAGAATCCTGCTTTCTGAAGAAGGGGAAGCAGAAGGAGAGGAAGCCAGAGAGAAAGGAGTCAACATGAGGCAAGATGGAGGATGAGCATCAGGAAGGACAGACTGATGGAGCAGAAGCCACCTGGGAGTTATCAGTTTGGCAAGTGATTGACTTTTATGTGAGTTTTAAAGGTATTAGGAAGAGAATAGCTCAGAATATGCCTAGCATAGTGTTTATAGCTTAATAGTAAATCATAGTCTCTCTGTGTCAGTCATTGGGGAACTAGCTTGTTAAAAAAGAAAAAAAAAACTGTTGTCATAATAATTCTCTGCATTAATTAATTTAGAAAGAATAGTTCTTTCAACAGGCAGAAGCAGAATGCTATGGCTTGAATATGATTTGCCCATTCTGAAAATTTAATCATTATGGTGAGGGACTACGAGGGTAAAAATAATGTGGCTATAGCACTGGAAGTTAAGAAGTGATTAGAATTAAACAAGGATTTCTGATCGGAGCCCTGAGATTCAATACTGGTAGCTCTGTAAGAGGAAGAGAGACTCTCATACAGACACAGGCAAACAGTGTCTCTCACCACGTGATGCCCTCCCCACAGTGCTTCAGGTCTGGATATTAGCCCTCTGTCAGATGTAGGGTTAGTGAAGATCTTTTCCCAGTCTGTAGGCTGTCATTTTGTTCTATTGACAGTGTCCTTTGCTTTACAGAAGCTTTTCAGTTTCATTAAGTCCCATTCATTAATTGTTGATCTTAGAGCCTGAGCTGTTGGTATTCTGTTCAGGAAGTTGTCTCCTGTGCCAGTACCAAACAGCTTTTCTTGCAAATGTTCTCCAGAGCTATGAGCCACAATATAGCTCATTAAAACGGGCCTGGTTTGTTGCTTTATCTTATTTGCAACAGAAAATGGGTAGATTAATAAACACATAGTCCTGATAATTGTTTAATGCTGGCATATGGCAGATGTCATCTTAACACAGTCAAGATAGAACGAGGTGGCTGAGTAAGGTGAAGGCAACAGACTGCTACACCCATATGGAACATGTCAGTAGTGCAAAACATTCACGTGCCCCAAAATACTTTGAAAATCAGTGGACCAGTTTCCAATTCATGGTTCCTTCAGGAGTGGGGAGATACGGGCTAGTAAGGGCTAATTAATCAAACACAGCCATCAGAACGCATCAGAACGCTTCCAAACTGGAAATGCTAAAATTCAAATGGTACTTTAGAACCACAGTGGCCAGCAACCTAAAACCTCAAACTGTACTGTCAGTACAAAAATTAAGAATGGATTATTTCTCAAAGTAACTAGATATGTATCAATGCATACCTGATTTCTCTGCTTTTCAACTTCATCTTCAGTGATGCAGTTGGACAAAATTTCAGACCATTCTAGGCGCTCCTCGGGTGTTCTTGCCGAAAGACTATCAAAAATTTCAAAGTAAAGCCATGCTAGATCCTTAGCCAACTGCAGCTTTCCACACGCGATGTGCCTCCATGTAGACCAGTAGAGGCGTGGGTAGGCGCCTTCTGTGGCCCGAGTTCTCACATAGCTGGCTATCTTCCTGAGGTAGTGAAGACTGAATTTGGATGGAGGTGGGACTTGCAAGGAACCTACTATAAAAGGTTCTGCCTTTACCCAGAGGAGAACTCCAGACTGATCCATAGCCTCTCTGAACACATCAGGACAAAGAGGCTTCTTTGCATACCTATGAAACAAAGTTTCATTGCAGACATGAAACAGATCTCCCATACCCATTTTCTTAAGAAATGACCCTCCCTTAATTATCTTTAAATGTACGGTATCCTCAGTTTAACAACAGCTATCGCCCTTGCCAAAAGCAAAATATAGACTTTTGGTCAAACTCTATTGCAATCTATTTGAGAAAGAAAGAAACAAACAAAAACCTATGAGGAAATTATCTTATTTCAATTGTTTGAAATGGTTGTTTCAAATTATGTAAATACATAAGGTCTGGGTTATATTTCTGCCTAGAGAACAAAGAAAAGGAATGGTGGTGGCATGGAGGAGGGACTGTCATACTGCCACAGGATGCCATGCTGTATCTTGATACAAAAACATTGGTAGAGATAAGTGGATAAGTTGTTACGGTAATATCAATGACATATAGAAGACAGTTGGTCAATAATGATTGGGATATATAGGGTCAGCAAGATGGCTCAGGGATAAAATCCTGCCACCAAGCCTGATGACCTGCGTTCCACCCTAGACTCACATGCTGAAGAGGCAAACCCATTTCTGCAGGCTATTTTCTAATCCCCACAGCTCCTCACCCCACCCAAAACTAAATAAATAAAAGTAAAATTAAAAATTATTCTCGAAGATTTGAACAGTCGGTCATAAGGCTCAACACCAAGCGTTCAGCTCAGGTGGCGGACAAACATGTGAATGTGAACATGGACCAGGGAGAGGGAAAACATCAATGAATGAGTTCTCCATAACAGTGAGCAGGCTCTGAGGTGCTGCTGCGCTCGGTCCTGGTATAGCACTTCCAGACTTGTTACACATAATAATAGAACACAAGTGAGGGTCACTCATCTTCCCACCACTAAAGGGAAAACTGTTAATGTTTTATTTTAGTCCTTGTCTTTTTCTCGACTGGATGATACTTTGATTCTGAATGTTGATGGCTGTGGTGCAGATATACAATTTTGTATTGTTTTCAAGGTATTCAAGCATTCCTAATGTACTCCAGCTTACTTTCCAACACTTAATAGTTCCCAATTTTTCATAAAAACACAATGGGCAAAATATTGATGACTGTTGATAAAGATGGACAGAGGAACCTATTTACCTCTTATTCTCCTTTATCTTTAAAAGTCCCATTTTAAAAAATTCGAATATTGCAGCTATTACATAAAACGTTCTGGTTATCATCTTCCCGTATATCATGCACTATGAATTGTTTCCCAGGGATTTTAAGACGTGCATTTTTAAAAAAATGACATTTCTGTAACTCCTAACATATGGTCCCCCTTCCCAAAACAACTATCAAACTGCACCATCGTTTAACCAAAACATCCATCTCACGAGGCACTCCTTAACATGAACATCACTTGAAAAGAACTTTCCGTAGGGCCAATGAGAAATGTTATTACTGCATTTTGAAAAGAATTGGGAAGCAGAAATGACTCATTGGTTAAGAGCACTGACTGCTCTATCCAAGGTCCTGGGTTCAATTTCCAGCATCCACGTGCATAATCATACAAGCAGACAAAACATCCATATAAATAAAAATAAATAACTATTTTAAAAAAGAAGTAATCGACAGGGCACTTCCATGCCCCGCAGGGTGCTTATGTGGGCGGCAGGATGCTAAAAGCGTTATCTGCTCCCCCTTTCGTTCACACAATCACCGGCTTTTCCCCCAGTTCAGACAGGTAGCTTTGAAGTTAGGGAATTTGTCTAAGTCCATATATTTAGTTGGCACGCTCTGATTTAGGGTTCCGGTCTGCTTTTGAGAACTGCATGGCTACAAAAATACTTTTGGAAGTCATACAGGGAGGATTTCTAAAAGTGAATGGGTCTAGACATGAGGTCCTTTAAGCGCTAGACTTGGACATGGACCGGCCAGCTCAAAGGAGGGATGTGAGGAGGTAAACGTCCACAGCGGTCTGTTCCAATCCATGAATGACCGAGTACAGAACCATCAGAAAGCCCTCGGTTTTCTCCAAAACCGACAGGGTGTCTTTGAGGCACTGGGCGCAGGATGCTGCCGACCCCTGTTCTCGCTCAGCAAGGGCAGTCAGTAGACACAAGCCCGGCGACTGCTACCTGGGCGGCGCTGGCTCGGGCGGGTAGGGCAAGGGCCCGGGACCCTCCCCGAGGTCGGCCGCCCTGCGGCTGTCCCCCATGGAGGCGAAATGGCCAAGGGAGCAGACCCGAGTCTGCGGGCTCGGGGCAACCAACCCTCCCTCCTCGGGGACCGAAGGACAGCGGCGTTGGACTCACCACCTCCCTTCTCAGCGGCTGGCGGAGCATCCCCTCGCCCTCCGCTCTGCCGCCGCTGCACAGTGCGCAAGCGCCAAGCCTTCCACCACAGAGCCCAGGCTGACCAAGCCTAGAGCGACTCGTGGCAAACTGGTTCGGCAAACTGATTCCCTGGATTGGGAACTTTCTGGCGCTGTGCCCTTTACCCCAGGGATGGGAAGTTTTCTATGGCTCCGGAGAACTGTGGTCCTCCCACGTGGCTGGTGCTGACGAGTAATTACAAGGCTAATGGCAGTTTACAGCTACTTTGGGGTAGGTGCCTGTAAAGCTCCTGTCTTCTTAAGCGCTCTGGTAAACCAAACCGAGGGTGGAAAGGTAAACTCCACCCAGCAAAGTCTTACACAGCAAGAAGCTCCGAAGCAAGAGTCAGATCCCAAGGGAATGAAGCCAGAGCAGTGGCACTAGCTCTTTAAGTAATAGTTCCTTTTAGATAAGTTCTCTCCTTCCAGTGAGAAGGAGGGGCTAGAGCATAAAGATGGCCCTCCTCTCCCCCACCCCCACGCCAGTACTCTCAGAAACAAACACTGGGGGAAGGGGACACACCATATGTGGTGGTTAATGTCAACTTGACACAAACTGAAGTCACCTAGGAAAGAGGGACTTTCAGTTAAGAATTTCCTCCATCAAACTGGCTTGTGGCCGTGTCTGTAGGGGCCTTTTCTTGACAAAAAAATTGATGTGAGGGTCTAGCCCACTGTGGCGGTGCCATCCCTGGACAGGTGGCCCTGGGTGGCATAAGAAAGCAGGCCGAGCAAACCATTGGGAGCAGGCCAGTAAGCAGCGTTCCTCCGTGGTCTCTGCTTTGATTCCTGCCTAGTCATCCTTGTCTTCCCTCCATAAAATGAGCTGTTACCTGTATGTTAGAGAAACCCTTCCCTCCCCAAGTTGCTTTAAGTCATAGTGTTTAACACAGCAGCAGAAAGCAGACTAAGACACTGGAAAAACCCTTTCTCTTCTGCTCAATAAAAGAGAAGCAAGAAGCATTTAAGATCTCTGCCCCAAACACTGTGGGAACTCCAAACAAATGCCCAAGACTACATGATGAAACCTGAAGAGCAGATTTCCTCTAGACTGTTGGGAAGGAACTTTACAAAAAACCTATCCAGCAAGTGGCAAACATGGTTAGAGCCAGAGCTGGCCTGGTTTCAAGTGGAGCATCAACATGGGGGAGGACCAGACAGTATCTGCCACTTGGCTCTGGAGGACAGGCCCAGCACTGTGATAAGAGCAGTATTCACAGCCTGACCCCTGAAGGACTGCCCAGCACTTGTGAGCCCTCCTGGGAAGACAGCCAACTGACAGGATCAGTATGTATGGTTTAACCTTGCAAATGACTGTCTATGGGTGTGCCTGGCATCTGAGCGCCTAGGAAGGGGACACAGAGAATCCAGGCTGACACCATCAATCAGTCAAGAGAGCACACAGACAGTGCCTTAGCCAGTTTTCTCCCCTTTACACTTATCCCTTTATTCAATACACAGGATCAATTTACAGACCAGTGCTGTTTTGTTCTCATCCTGTCTTTCCCCCCCCCCCCCCTTACTTCCTTTTCTATTTTCATTTTGACAGGCTTTCTCCAAGAACACAGGCTGGCCTGTTTGGTGGTGTCTCTTGAGTCTCCGGAGAATTCAGGCTCTTTCAGGTTATATGACTGCATTTCTTTACCTCTCTCTTTTCATTCTATCTCCCCTCTGGCACCCACTGCTCACTCAGTCTATTTACTCCCCCCCCCATTTTTAATCAACCCAACACTAATCATAATTACTAGTCATAATTACGGACTAATTATGCATCAGAGGACTGCTATCCTCTAAGCATGGTGTGGCTGTTGGCCTCTAAACTCTCAGCAGATCTGCTCATCTGCAAAAGACCTGCACAAGATCGGAGACATTGGTGTTCTACTGTGGAGGGTACAGAGGCTCATGAGGCCTGCCCCTCCCTGAGGATACTCAGGCAGTTAATGGTTGCTAGGGTGGAAAGGTTCAAGAAGTCCTCAATGAAGATATCTAGGCAGTGAACAATTGCTGAGAGGGAGAGAGCTTTTCCTCAAGGTACAGTTGTTTGTAAGTTGCCTGTGCTCCTGTTGAAATCTCTGACTCATATTCCTGTAAATAACCCTAAGAAATTCATTGGTTATTTGTAATGGAAGTTTTGGTGTCTTTAAAAACTCAGGTATGTTATGTAAATATGTTTTTGTTTTAATGCCAAGTGTGGGATTTTAGTTTGGGGTTTAGTTTGTGCACAGCTGATAATTGCCTCCTGTAGGGCGTGGTCGCTGCTAGCAGCTAATGGCCTGCCTTGTGCAAGGCGGAGAGGGACATGGACTAGGACTCTGAGGAAGAGAAATAGGAGAGCCCAGGGAGGGAAAGTAGGGCATGGGGCATGGGGCCTGCCCATGGCAGTTTGGAGAGACCAGAGTGTGGTGGTTTACAGACAAACAGATGGAGAGAAACACTTCAATGCAGCATCTCCTGGCTGCATTTGCTGTTGACGTAGGTTGGCATAGCCCCAGGGGAGCCCCTAGACTCTAAACAGCTGGGAGAAGTAAGGGGTCTGCGCCCCCCTCCCCACTAACCTTCTCTCTTCTACCTAGGGTTGGGGAGTTGGAAGGGAGACGCTTTAAGGAACCCCAAATAAAATAAAGTTTAAAAACCATGATCACACCAGACCTGTACGCAATTTTGCTGTTGTTACTAGACTGTTGTTGGTGACATCTGCTCACACTCCCAGAAGAAGTTCACACAGTGCTTGTTGCCCAAACATGCGACATGATGGAACCAAAGATGACTTTGTGAGGCACACTTGCACTGTCTTTGAAGCAGGTGGTTTGAGAGTGGAGACTCCACCAGGACCTTTACAAATGTGGCATAGGATGGCATGTCTTCCATTGTCTGTGCTGTGGGTAAAGGACATACCACGAAATCTGCTGTGTCTGAAGGAGGGGTGGTGTGGATCTCAAGGTGGCCATCTTCCTCAGTAAGATATGGAGTGGCGTGCCTCCTTGACAAACCAGTCCACTTGAGTTTAGAGACACCTCCAAAATGGATTAGAGAATATACTACACTCCCTCCACGTAGCATGTATGGGACAAGGCGTCAAGTAAACTATAGCCCAGCCCTTATCTAGACAGTAAGACGTGTAATTAAGTTTGAGCTGTCTTCCCATAAAAATTGAGGTCAAAATGGAGGAATTACAAGAAAAAGACATGCAGATGATATCTACACTCACCTCTGACCTGTCAGGAAAGGAAGTAGTGAGAGACAATGAGATGGAAGAGCAGGCTTGACACTTCTTGTGGTGGCAGGGGAACTAGGCAGAGTGCAGATTAAATCTGTGGTAAATGGCTGTCACTGTGTTCTGTTGCTGGGAAGAGACACCATGACCACGGCAATTCCTATCAAGAAAAGCACTTAGTTGGGGTTCACGTACAGTTTCAGAGGCTTAGCCTATTGTCACCATGGACAATGGCATCATACAGGTGAAGTAGCTGAGAGTTCTACATCCAGATTCACAGGCAGTAGGAAGAGACTGAGCAGCTTTTGAAAACTCAAAGATACACCCAATGACCTCCTTTAAGAAAGCCACACTTACTCCAACAAGGACATACCTCCTAATCTGTCCCAAGTTGTGCCATTCCCTGATAACTAAGCATTCAAATATAAGAGCCTACAGGGGCCCTTCTTATTCAACTCACCATATTCCACTTCCTGGACCCCACAGGCTTGTAGCCAAATCATAATGCAAAATGCATTCAGTCCAATTTCAAAAGTCCCCACAGTCTCAATACCAGTTAAAGGCCAAAGTTCAAAGCCTCTCCTGAGACTCATGGCAATCTCTTAACTGTAACCTCCTTTAAAATCAAAATAAAAAAGCAGATCACATACTTCCAACATGCAATGGCATGGACTGTGCATTGCCATTCCAAAGGGGAGGAAAGAGCATAGTGAGGAAATACTGAACCAAAGCTAGACAGAAAACCAGCAGGGAAAACTCTAAATTTTGCATCTTCATGTCTGATGTCACAGTGCTCTTCCAATCTCCCATCTCCTTCCAGCATTATTGACTGCAGCTCACTGTTAGCAGCTCTCCTTGGCAGGCATCCCATGCTCTAGCATCTCCCAAATCTTGGGGTCTCCAAGGCAATCCAGGCTTCACTTTCACAGCTTCAGGTAATGGCTTCTCTGGGCTTCCATACAGGGACACCCCTGATACACACCTAGGCTCAGAGGGTGATTCCAAAACCCCTTGACTCTAAAGCCAGAACCATACGGCCCAAACTGCCAAGCTCTGCTGCTTGCTAGGACTGGAGCATAGCCCCTCCTTCAGTTACATCTGCATCAGGTTTCTGTTTTAGATGGTTTAGATGTTTAGATGTTTTAGATGCTGCTTAAACTTTTCTTTAATTCCTCTCCACAAGTCAGAAGCTCAGCTGGGCAGGGTCTTGCCCTGAGCTCACACTCCCTTTATGCCACTTAGCCTGGGGCTTTTCTTTAGTTTAAACTTGTTAGCTTTAGTACACTGCCTGGTGCTCCTTCTCCTCTCAGACTGAACATTTTGTGTTTGCCCTTGCTCGGCTTGCTCTTTTTCACTGTAGATCTGTGTAACAGTGACCACTAACAACCGTATAACAGAGTCAATACTAGGCTGTCTTGAAATCCCTCTGCTAATGCCATTCCTCTAAAACTCTTTGATTTAGGCTCAGGCAAATTTTTCTGGACAAGAGCAAAAAGCAGACACATTCTTTGCCAAAATATCACAAGAATGGTATCTAGGCCACTTCTAATATTCTTTCCCTCTGCAATTTCTTGAGCTGGGCTGCACAGTTCAAATCTCCCTTAGTACTGTCTTCATATTCATATTAGTAACAGCCCATTAGGCCCCCTCCCCCCCTTAACACATTCAGTGCTTTCCTAATCCAAAGTCCCCAAATCCACATTCCACCAACAAGAAGGATGGTCAGGCCTATCACAGTGACACCTGGTTCCCTGGTAACAACTTCACTTGGTCCTCACATTGCCCCTCATGGGATCCCAAAAATTGGAACCCATAGTAAGTGAACACTGAGGATGAGGCGGCAGTGATAGAAGATACCTAACAATCAGACCTAGCCTTTAATATAGAGGAAAATTCATAATACAGTATGCAGATGGAGGCTTTACTAATGGTCCAATACAAGAAACTATGATAATCAGGGAATATTCTGTCACTGAACTGTATGAATTGGGAATAACTTTTTAAATTGTGTGTATGTGTATGTGTGTCCCCTACTGTTTGTCTCTACTGCTTCCTGAGTGTAGGTACAACATGGTCTGCTCCTACTGCCTTCCCCACCATGACAAACTATTTCTTTAAAACTGTGAGCTAAAATAAGCCCTTTCTCCTCTTAACTATTTGTCTGGTTTTTGTTTTTGGCCAGGATATTTTTTTTTAAATCACAATAACAGAAAAGAAACTAGTACAGGAGATGGTATCAAGAAGTGGAGTCTTTGCTGTGGTAAACTTGACCACATGGTCTTTGGGTTTTTGTTTTGTGAAATGTTGTGGTTTTGGAATTCTATACTGGAAAAGCATTGAATTCTGGAAGCAAAATGTAATGGGTCATTCTAGTGAAGGACAGAGAACAGCAGTGCTAAAAGAGCAAAGCAGTGCAGCCTAGATGATGCTCATTAGAGGAACAAGGACCCTATTAGGACCTAGACTAGGGGCAATTAGTGTGATGTTTTGACACAGAATCTGGCTGCTTTCTGCTCCTTTCCTACGAATTTGAGTAAGCCTGACTCTAAAAATAATAGACTAAAGTTCTAAGACAGCCTAATGCTGAGCCAGTTGCATGGCTATTACTGATTACTCTGATGCAGATCTACAGTAGAAGAGCAGTGGGGCAGAAAGAAATGTGTGTCTGTTTGGACAGAAGGAAAAAAGCAATAAGAAGCTTTACAACGGTCTCCAAAGCATGTCCTAGAAAAGAGGCAGTAATTGCTCAGGGATTAATACCATCAAAGAGAAGCATCTTGCTTGCTCTTCACAGAACAAAAGGAAAGGATGGAGGCCTGAAGGCAAACCCTCAAGTAAGATCCCAACCCAGGAAAAGAGAGGCCTCTGGTCTCCATTGCAAAGCTATCAAATACCTAGGTAAGTTTTCACCAGCTACAGCATACTCAAGTTGTTACAGTGGTGGTCCAAGGGGATCAGGTGCCATCCTGAGCTGGCGAAAGAAATAGGCAGTATCACCCACGTCATACTGATTTTGGATTCATGAAAGATAAAAGACTGTGGAGATCATGTATTTTTTTTTTTTTCTTCAAAGTTTCAGAGAGCATCTGAGGCCCGGCAATGTGTGCATGTGGCAGATTGAGAGTCTACGGAATCCTGAGAAGCCACTGTGTAAAGCTGTGAAGATAAAGCCTGGGTTGTGATGGAGACCCCAAGATGTCTGAGATGCCATCATCATCGTACATCTTCCAAGGAGGGCTAAATACAGAGTGGAACCAGCCCAAGGATCCACTTTGCAAGCAGCAAAGCTGGAAGGACAGAGTTAGGCCTTGTAGCTGAAGTCCCAAGTACCAGAAATGGCACTAAAAGATTTGTTATTTTCTCTTCTGGATTTTAGTAATGCTTTGGTCTGATCTTTAATCACCTTTTCTCCCTTTTGGCATAGGAACGTCTACTCAGTCCCATTGTATGCTGGAAGTATATAATCTGTTTTTGTTTTTGTTTTTTTGTGTTGTTCAGTATATGTTCAAAGATTGCCATGAGTCTCAGAAGAAACTCTGGACTTTTGAGCAGTGTTGGTGTTATAAAACAGTACGAGAGCTTTGAATGGTGAACTTAAATGTGTTTTGCAGCATGAGCCATGAACCTATGGAGCCCAAGGGACAAGTGTTGTGATGGGAATATGAATGGCAACATAGTCTCATGGGTTTGAATACTTGGTCCTTAGCTAGTGGAGTGTCTAGGAAAGTTATAGAACCTTCAGGAAAGTTATGGAGCCTTGCTGGAGAAAATAAATCACAAGGGGCAGACCTTAGGGTTTTATAGGCTGGTTCCACTTGCTGTTCTCTATCTACTTTTTGAATGCAGATGATCAGCCATGCTTTCTCTGCCTGTTGTCATGTCTTCCCTACCACAACGGACTCTATCCTTCTGGAACTTTAGTTCAAAATAAACCTTTTCTCCCCTAAGTGGCTTTTTGTCAGAGTTGTGTTTTGTTTTGTTTTGTTTTTAATCACAACATAATACAATGTCCAGTTCACTGGACCAGAGGACTGTGTTCACAATAAGATATAATCTTTACAAGGTAAGAGAGGCTCTAACACATCTGAATTACTTAGACTAGCATGTAAATCAAGGTTGTAAAGTGCTAAACAATCAAGGAGGAACAAGAAATAGTAGACAAAGGGCCAATCTGGGAGTGCTGATTGGTCTTAGGCAACATAACACAAACCTACACATATCTTGGAAGATGGAATCTCAACTGAGGAATTGCCTCCATCAGACTGACCTGTGGGTGCATTTTCTTGATTGATGATTGGTGTGTGAGGGTCTAGCTCACGATGGGCAATGCCACCCTGGACAGGTGGTGCCGAGTTGTATCAGAAAGCAGGCTGAGCAAGCCAGTAAGCTACACTCCTCCCTGGTCTCTGATTCAGTTCCTGCCTCCAGGTTCCAGCATTGAGTTATTCCTTGGCTTCCCTAAATGTTGTATCAACTTTAAAAAGAACCTAAAGACATAAGCACATCTAGAAGAGGATAATAAATCAGTTTATATAGGATGCCAGCCAGATACAGCTGTAAAATTCTTAGAAACTTTACAGTTGGGTAAAGATACAGAAGACATGTGAGACAAAGGGCTAATGTGAGAAAATTCTCCAACAAGCCTCTGCCTGTGTTGAAGCGATAGTTATAGAGTTTGACTAAAGCTGGGCAGTGGTGGCACATGCCTTTGATCCCAGCACTTGGGAGGCAGAGGTAGGCAGATCTCTCTATGAGTTCAAGGCCAGCCTGATCTATAGAACGAGATCCAGGACAGCCACAGCTACACAGAGAAAACCCTGTCTCAAAAAAACCAACATAACAACAACAAAGAGTTTAACTAAAGTGGCCTGTTTTGCTGGAAAAAGATACTCCCAGATGCCATAGGCATATTAATGAGAATCTAAAACCAAGGGACAGATTACCTCATTAAGAGTTCTTAGCCAAGGAATCCCTGAGCTACCCCCCAAAAATACAAGCTATTAGCATTGCTTTGGATGCCCACAGAACTAGATGGAAAGACCCTATTTCTAAAGACATCGCACACTTTGGTTGCAGGACATGAAGAGATCAAGCTGGGATTAAGTTGGAAGCTTCCTTGTTGTTAGCTAGTTTTCATAGTGTTGAAAGGTACTGTTAAGCCGTTTCACCTATCAACATGCCGTCTGGTACCAATTTCTTTTCAATTAGACTTAAGGCCTGGTCCACAGAAAGAAACCTAAGAAATTCATGGTTGGTACTGTAAAACCAGGACTTAAACTCAGTCAAAAGCCTGTGGATGGGGAGATCACAGGTGCTAGTGGGAAGCTACTCCTGTGGGTTTGCTAAATTAACATGATGTGCTAGTCAAATTGCCTTTGACATGCTTATGTTTATGCTAAGATCATTGCTGCTGTCATCTGTGAACCATGAAGTGTATTTCTGTAGCTTCTATAGAAACAAAAATGGCCAAAGTAGAAAAGTGTGACTGCTGAATGCTCAGGGGCCATCTCTACCACCAATATCTGTATCATCGGTGGTATATCATCTATATCACTTACTCATCCACAGAAGGCTCCAACACAGAAGAGGGAGAAGACTCAGAAAGGAGGAAAGGGCCACATGTCACGGAATGCTGTCTTCCAAGCATGAAGCAGCCACTGAGCTCCTGAACTCTGAAGAGCTGTGATTAACTGCAGGAGATCTGCACAGCCCATGATTATCTCTAAGAGACTTGCCCACTTGTGTTTTTTTATGGAGCAGGGGCTCAGGAGGCTGCCCCTCTGAGGATGAACTGGGAGTTAACAGTTGCTAGTCAGGAGCTTACCAGGCTCTGTGCCTCCCAGAGGATCTTCAGGCAATTAAGAGCTAGTAAGAGAAACTTCTTCTGTGTTGCAGTTGCAGAATTGCCCATGCTTCTATAAGTAATTTTAGTTAAAAGTCATACTTAGGTAGAACTGTTTCTTTGGAGGGGTGAAAAGACCCCAGGTAAAGTTCACACACACTAATCTGACTATGCTGTTTTTCTTTCCATTCATATGCACAGTAAATATAACTCAGTGAAATAACTTAGTACTCATTACTATCTTAGTACAATCAGTGTCCCTTGCATCCAGAATAACTGGAACTCGAGAGATGATTGGCTTTTTATTTTTTCTGACTATTCCTGTATTTTTATAGCGGACATAACCGTGATAGTGATTGTCTGTGCAGATATTTACTCTCAGGGCAGTTTGGGTACTGTACCTAGTACTCCAAACACATGGGTCAAGGCTTGGAATCCTATATTTTAAGCTCTAAAAGACAACAACTGCTGGCCCACACTGTCATACCCAACCTATCTGTCATAAATGAAGGAGAAAGGAGGCCTTTCCATGATAAAAAAAAAAAAAAACAGGCTAGTGGAATTCATGACCAATAGGCTAGTTCTACAGAGGATATATGAAGGCATCCTTCACAATGGAGAGAAAGATAAACATACCCACAGGCCAAAGGAAAGAATAGCCCCCATGGAACAGAAACTAAACAAGCAAAAACAGGAAACCACTAACACTGCAAATCAACAAAATGATGGAAATAATACATACTTTTCGTTGGTAGTTGAATCTTAATTATCTTGATTCCCCAATTTAACGACATGGGCTAGCAGATTGGAGAGAGAGAGAGAGAGAGAGAGAGAGAGAGAGAGAGAGAGAGAAAGGGATCTACCTTTGTTGTTGCCTCCAAAAAAATTCATCTCACCATCAAGGACAGTGTTAGTACTGAAGAATGGAAAAAAGTATCCCAAGAAAATGAACCTAGGAAACAAATGGATGTTGCTAATCTAGTATCTGACAAAATATACTTCAAACCATATCTATTCAGAAAAGATAAGGTCACTTCATATCGATTAAGGGAACCAATCAATCAAGAAGACATTATTATTCCAAATCATATATTCCTCAAACCCAGGTGCACCCAATTATATGAAACAGATACTACTAGATATAGTCACAGACACAAATTAGTTCCAGCACAATAGTGGGTGACTTCAATATCCCACTCTCATTAAGACACAGGCTACCCTGACAACAAATAAACACCGGAATTAGACAGCATCCTAGATCAAATAGACCTACCAGACATCTATAAAGCACCCAAATCCAGTCTTCTCAACATCTACAATGGATCAGCCCCCAAGCAAAAAGGATTAATGGCAAAAAGGATTTTGGGAAAACATCAATGTTTGTGTTAGCACTATTCAGAATAGCTAAGTTATAGAACTAACCTAGGAGTTCAACAACAAAATAAAGAAAGCATGGCTTATGTACACAATGGTCCCCGCCTCACCATAAAGAATGTAGTTATATTGTCTACAGGGAAATGGATACAACTGGAGATAATCATCTTAAGGAAATTAAACCATTCTCAGAGGAAGAAATGCACGTTTTCTCTCATTTGTGGTTCCTAGATTTTTTTTATAGGCACTTAAAATCACATATGCATATATGGCATGAAAATAGAAGCAAAACTGTCTAGAGAAACAAAGGGAATAACAGGTCAGAGGAAAAAAAAAGAAAGGTAAGAAGGAGAATATGCTCCATGTGTATTATACACTTGTATAATGTTTATGCAAGAAAGTACCATATAAAATGAATACACACAATTAAAAGTTTTTAAAGGAGGCAGCTGATTATTCTGGAACACCCTAAGATATTTAATAGGTGAGGATACAGATCGTTAGCTTATACTGTTTTGCAAGTTAACATTAACTTGGAGTGCAACGAAAAGCCATTAGAAGCCCTTAAGCAAGACAGTGACATGATTTGACTTTTTTTTTTTTTTTTTTTAAATCATGAGGGCACTCGGGAGATAATTCGGTAGTAAAGCTTGCCACTTACTTGCTGTAAAAGCAGAAGGCCTTGAAATCCACCCATAGCAACAATGGCCTGAAATGCCAGCGCTCAGGAGACAGAGACGGGACCTTGGGCTCCCGGGTCTGTGTTCTCCAGGTCCCTAGTGCGCTGGCGCGCGCACACACTCATGGGATGGAGAGAAGTGTTTTTAAAGTGTCGTGTCGAGATATAAAGTTCTGGAGGCAGGAAGATAGGTTAGGAGACCTTTGCAAACACAAGATAACTGACTAGGGCAAGAGATGCCGAGATAAAGCTGTAAGTGGACATATTCGAGATACAGTTCGCTGGTGAAGGTCCGAACAGGTTATGAAGGAAGGAAAACTAAGCGTAGAGGCTTCCCTAAACAACTAGCTTTTCTGCGGTAAACAAGACGGGAGAACAGAACAACCAACGAACACGCTCTACGCCTAACAATAATAATGGCTTTTATTCATTGCACGCTTACTGTATGCAACAACACCGCCAGGAAACTTACAGAAAATGTTTCAACTCATCCCCAACGCTGCCAGTGAACGCTTTGCCTTAGTTGTGTCAAAAACAGGTTCGGAAGCGGGGTGGGGATGGGGCTGTCTCACCGCTACGAAAGGCTGGAAGCCGTTTCTGAACGTAAGTCGGTCTCCACGACGGCTTCCCTATATATTGAGACCATTTGTGATAAGTCTGTGGTGTCAGATCGTGTCCCTAGACAAGACGCCCCACGTACTGTGTGACACCTCCTGGAGCTGCGCCTCGGCGAGCGCGCGCGCGTCCCCTGAGCTCACGACGTACAGTTTGCAGACCGGTAACCAAGTTAATACCTCTCGCAAGCAATTGGTGAGAACAGGGAAGGAGCCTCGCGATTGGTGGACATTCGGGTCTTCTCGCAGCGCGCCCTTGGCCGCCTCTAATTTTCTCCTATTCGCAGGAGCTTCCGGGCGGCGCGGAGCTGTGACGTTTGCTCTTGCCATTGGCCGGCAGCCGCGGCTGCAGTTCCGCCATCTGATTGGCTCCCCGCGCCGCCTCGGAGGTGAAGTGTACCGCGCTGATTGGCTGCGGAGTGGCGGCCGCGTGTGATGTCCCCGCCGGCGATTGGCCCACGCCTGGCTGCTCGCCGGCTCTGGGGCTCCCGGAAAGTGGCAGCTGAGGAGGGGGCGCGCTAGCTGTCTCCGCGGCCGGGCAGGAGACCCGGGCGTGAGGCGGCCTCTCTGGGCCGGAAGGGCTGGTCAGCCGACTCAGCGGCACCGGAGGCTGAGAGTGCGGGACAAGGGGACACCATGGCCCCCCAGAACCTGAGCACCTTCTGCCTGTTGCTGCTGTATCTCATCGGGGCTGTGATCGCCGGGTGAGGAACGGGCTCCCTCACGGCACGGGGTCGGAGGGGCGGCCTTTGCTGAGGACGCGGGTGGCATCGAGGAGGGGGCACTGCCGGGCCGAGGGACGGACGAGTAGCGTGGGCCAGGCTGGCCGTGCGGGGCCAGATTTCCCCGGAAGAGCAGGAGTTGGTTGCAGTGCCCGATACGCGTTTGGGGCTCCTGTGAGCAGGAGTGGGGATCCGGACGTCTGGGGAATGGGGCTTCTGATGGAGATGAGTGCCAAGCGGGGATTGGGCTCTTTGGTCTGTCTGCCGAGTTCCAGAGTAGGACGGTGACTTACCCAACCTACGACAAGCTGACCCTAAAGTGTGTGGGCCATGATGCCAAGTCAGATGAGTAGAGCAGGTAAGGAAGCCAAGCTCAGCCTGAAGAAAATGGGCTTGAGAGAGCAACAGGACCCTTTAGAGAGCCCTCCTGCTTCCCAACTTCTTGAGCTAGCCTCACTGTCATTCTTGCCTCACTGTCCCTCCGTGGTTCCTTCTTGAGCTGGATGCTGTAAGTGGGAGAAACAGTTCACTTAACAGGCAATAAAAACTGGGAGGGATCCTAGCCTATGTTACTCTTACGAATCATACAACCTTAAAGGAACTGTATGAGTCTTCTGAAACCGAGGATAACATTGTTCCTCTCTTCGGGGAGAAAGAGCAGACTAGAGCGATACGTGGCCCTGTAGTTCCGATGATTCAGGGTATGGTATATCAGACCTGTGCCTGCATCCTGAATCCCAGCTTTTGGTGGGGGGAAAACAGGTGGATCGGAATTCAAGGTCATCTTCAGCTACAGAGTGAGTTCCAAGCTATCTCAAATAAGTAACCACAAAAGTAAAAACACAGCTCAAACTAGTAGTTATCAGATTCTGACAATTTATAGGTTGTTCACAATGGGAAAGGCCCTACCTAGCATAGCTTTCAAAGTTGTTTTCTTCATGGTTTTTTGCTGTTTGCATGTATGCTTAAATTTTGTCACTCTTTCCTTGTGAAATGTTTTAATTTCTTAAAAGTTAACATTTCTTATATATGCTTAATTGTTTGGTTTTTTTTTTTTTTCCTTAGTTTGATTAAGCCATGAGTACCCAAGGTATTTAAAAACATCAACATAAAATTTTGGAGTTGGGAGTTGAGTGAGGTATGCTGTTCTCCAACTCAATGTATAGCCGAGGGTGACCTTGAACTCCTTCATGACCCGTCAGCCTCCACTTCCCAAGTGCTAGGATTGCAGCCGTGAGTGACCATGCCTGGCAGATACTAATATTTTTAATACTATAGCTTTAAACATAAGTTACTCGTAAAGTAGCCTCTGGGGACTATCATGTTGACATTGAACTCTTATCAGCCATTTTTATCTTGTATTTTTCTGAGCTGTCATTTAACCTTTCCCCTCCTAAATCTTTTATTTATTCTCTAACAGTTTCATACACACACACACACACACACACACACACACACACACACACACTCACACACACTCTTCCCCTGGGCCGTCTCAATATGCTCCCTCCTTCCTTCATGTAACCCTCTGATCCAGCTAGTGCTGCCTGCTGGGACGGTGACCAGCTGTATTGGCTTGCTCATGTGAAGGTCTTATTCAGGTAACCGTAACTTGAGTGAATTCACGAGTGCCATTGCTCCCCCCATCCTCTCCTTTTATGTTCTTTCTGTTCCTCCTTTCCCTGAACCTTGGGGATTTGGGGAGAGGGGTGGAAGGTTGAAGTACTTGTTCATTTAAGACCTATCACTCAACAGTCACTTGCTTTTTCTCCACATTTTGAGTAATTATGTTGATGTATTGACCACTGACCCTGTAGAAAGAAGCTCCTCTGACCAAGGTTTGAGTGGCATGAATCTATGGGTACAACCTAAATGTGTACAAAGCTGCTTGACAACATGTCTGATTAACAAAACAGCAGTAAGGTGTTCTTCACTCCTCCAGATCTCCTTAGCCATGGGCTTTCAGGCAGCTTTACAGTACCAGGTCTGAATTCCCTCCTGTGGAGCAGGCCCAAATCCAATCAGAAAACAGTAGGTCAACCCCATAATCTTTATGCCACTATTGTACCAGAGGTGAGTACATCTTGCCTGGCTAATCAGTGTTAGTGACTTTTCTCAAGCAGCCTGCATAAACACTTTCACAGCGCTGCGAAAGCTGGACAGGAGGGAGGAAGTTTTCATATCTCCAGATTGATTTCTCCATGTCCTGTGACCAAAGTGAGTGTCGTCAGCAATAAGGTCTTCCATCTAGTTATGGTGGGCACCCAACAGTGATTGCAATGCCTTCTATTGTTTTGGGGGCCTCCCCGACTTCTAACTCATAGGGAGGTTTCCCACACCTGGCACTGAGACTTCCACTTCATAATCCATGGATTCTAAAGGAAGCACTGACCACTCATGTAGGGTACCTACGTGCAGAATTCTCTGTCTCTCTGTGTTTGTATGTCCATCTGTCTCTAAGATCTTATTTTTAAGGACATGTGTATATAGTGTGTCTGTGTGTGGGCGTGAACACGTGAGTGCAGATATCCACGGAAGCAAGGACAGTATGTTGAACTTCTGGAGCTGAGTTACAGGTGGCTGTAAACCACTCACCATGGGTATGGAAGACCAAACTCAGCTCCTCTGTAAGAGTAATAAGCACTTTAAGGTCATTGGGGTGGGGGTAGAGGCTATGTTTTTTATGGATTAGCATACAAAGTAGTGGCTTTCCGTAGATTTTTTTTTTTTAAACATCCTTAGTTTAGTTTGACCTACCACCAGAAGCATAGTCTGACCTACTCTCCAGAAGCATAGTCTTGAGAATGTTACCTAATTAAGCCTCACTCTCTATTTAGTTAGCCTTTTCATTATTAAATGGCTGGTTCCTTTTTCATGAGATACCAAGACTCTACAGATGAGGTAGGGACTTCTTGTAGGTGACAAGTGTTAAATGATATAGTTAAGCTGGGCCTGTCGATACATGACATGCCTCTGATCCCAGCATTTGGGAGGCAGAGGCAGGTGGATCTCTGAGTTTGAGGCCAGCCTGGTCTACAGAGTGAGTTCCAGGACAGGCAGGGCTACAGAGAAACCCTGTCCTGAAAACCAAAACCAACAAACAAAAAAATTATATAGTTGGGCTATGCATGCTTTCATATGCCTGTAAACTCAGCATTTGAGAGGTAAAGGTAGGAGGATCGGGTTCAAGACTAACTTTAGGTACATGGTGAGTTAAAGGCCAATCTTGGCTACATGAGCCCTTGTCTAAAAAAAAAAAAAAACAAAACAAAACCCAAAACGTAACAGAATTATTAAAATAACTAAATTACTTTTCAAAAACTATGACTAGGAGTTTATTTAAAAACAAAACAAAACTGTGGCCTCATGAGTGGATAGTAGTCATGTGCCATCATGAATTCAGGACTTCATAAATCTGAGGCAGGCATAGGTCAAACTAAAACACTTTTTTTTTTTTTAATATTCTCTCTTATGTCTTGGTTCCCAGTTCATTTTCCCCATGCATTTTTAAATTACTATTCGTCCTATGTCAGTGTCTATTATGTGACTTTCCTAGCCCCTTGAGATAATGCTTTCAGAATAAATTCTAGTAGCTACAAGTCTGGCAATAAGAGCAGGCGTTGTGAGCATTCTTGTGTGGTCACCTCACTCAGGGGCTGCCGTTTACTGGTCTCTTCAATGAGCTGGTTATGGCTCCTGCCTGGAATGTCTTTTATAGTCTCACTCTAGCTTTCCATTAACACTTCTTGTTAAGAACCCGTTTATGGCTGATTCTAGCATAGTGCCTCTGTTTTATGTCACCGTTTATATCATATGCATATTCTCAGCTACCAGGATATGGAGGCTCCTACTTGTGGACTTTAGAAGCTGTCGATCATAAAGACTTGGTCTTAACAAATCTAGTTACCGGCAGTGAATTATGAAATGTATTTTCTCTCAGCAAAATACACCATAATCCTTATATCCAGATGAGTACTATTCTTCCTTCAGGGTTATTTGGGCTTTGATTAACCTTTATTTTAACTCCTTAAGTCAGTCCATCTTTAATGTTCTAAAAGTGCTACTGTTGAGGACATTTATGTGGCATAATCTTGGTGAATAAAGATAACTATCTTTTGAAATTATTGGCCCTTTAGAAACAGTCGAAAGTCACTGGAGTGGGTTTGGAAAGATGGCTCAGCAGGTAAGGGTGCTTGCTGCTCTTGCAGAGGACCCCAGCGCCCACATGGTGGTCCACAGCCACCTGTAACTGCAGATCCGAGGATCCAGCTTTTCTTGACTCCAAGAGTACCTGCACACTCACACGTGAACACACACATCTGCTCATAATGAAAATTAAAGTATTTTTTAAAAATTATTTGGAGCCAGTGTAGGGAGTAAAGAGAGAGCTAATTCTATTGTTGGGTTATTAGCTGGAAGTAACATAGAGCCATAACGCACAAGAATAGTTTCTATACTGAAGGTAATTCTAAAAGAAAAATGCCACCAGTGCTTTGCATATTTTTTAATT